GAATCGGTACTTTATTTCTGGTTTCTAAAATACCGACAACATAAGTACTGTTTCAGTTAGGTGAACGAAATTTCATACATAGGTATACGATTCTCTGGTTTATTTTAAATGGAGTGACCACCCCCTTATAGCCCCACCCCACGCAGACCCAATGGAGTGACCACCCAGATAACAGCCCCACCCCACGCACACTCAGAGAAGAATCAGCTCCACAGATGGTTGTAACCCAAAAACAGAAGTGCATACCTGTGCTTGGAGTGCAGAAAGGTGCGAACGGTGCAAGGTGCAACACAGGGTGCAACAGTTAATCATTAGTCAAGCATGTGGCTGCTTTTTGATGTGCCTCACAATATTAGACCAAACAGGACATCAAAGTCCGACCAACATCACAACATTAGACCAAACTGGACATCAAAGTTAGACCAACATAACAATATTAGACCAAACTGGACATCAAAGTTAGACCAACATCACAACATTAGTCCAAACTGGACATCAAAGTTAGACCAACATCACAACATTAGACCAAACCGGACATCAAAGTTAGACTAACATCAGAATATTAGACCAAACTGGACATCAAAGTCCGACCAACATCACAACATTAGACCAAACAGTACAATATTTGAATGTCATGAAATTATCTCTCTCTACCGATGTGCCTTCATTGAATAAAACTCTTCTATCGCTTCGATCACTGACAACTTCCCCTTACTAATACACGTAGTAAGGGAAATAAGCGTGCTAGCTTGTTAGTGTAGTGTAATGTATTATGATAGATAGGCCTACATGTAACATTTTATTTTCGCACATCGATAAGTTCGCTTTAGTGGAGAAAATACTAGGACAGTAGCACTCTAGCACAGCTATAATCTAGAATCGACCCTGACTTCTAGTCCCCTTCCCCTCCCCTTGTTTATAAATATTAAAATAATTTTGACCCCTCCCCTCCTACGTCTCTAAAAAAATACCGCTGTGAGTGCTGATAACTATTTAACATGGATATTTGAAGATCATTACATTTTATGTTACGTTATGCAGAGGCGTAGCGATGGGGGGGGGGGGGGGGGGGGGGGGCAAGGGGGTACATATGTCCCCGGGCGCCGACCTTAGGGGGCGCCAAAATGGGTTGTAAAAACAAATTAAAGTATCATTTTAGCTGCATTTTTTCATTATAAATAGTTTGAGCGGGGGGGGGGGGGGTGCAAATCAAAAGTTTGATGGGGGGGGGGTGCAAATTGAAAATTTGCTCCCGAGGGGGCGCCAAATTGAATGTTTGTCCCCGGGCGCCGGGATGGGTCGCTACGCCTCTGACGTTATGCAACCAACAATTAGATCTGTCGGCAAATAGTCCGCGTAAGAAAAAGTCCCGTCACTAGTCGTCAGTCTCTATATTGTATCACTACGCGCGAGAGTTTACAGAAAAAGTCAGCAACGAAACAAACTCTAATGTAGCAAATAAACAAAAGGGAGAGAAGCGGTCACAAATAAACGTAGCGGGCCCGTGTCACGGAAACACCCGAGCGGCCGCGAGAAGGTTGGCGGAAGTTGTACGAAAGCTCCCTCGGGAGAAGCTCGGCTCACGTGACCACGAGACACTTTTGTTCAAATAAACAGTCACTGAGCTTCAAAGAAAATATCATAACAAACGAAATAGGGTGGGGTGGGGGCGGGGAGTCTAGCAAAGATCGAAGCGGGAGAATAGTTTTATTTAATGATGGCACATCGTTAGAGGGGGAGACTCGGGCAGTCTGACTGCTCGTGGATAACGCGCTGGGGTGAAGATTATTTGGTTAACATTTTCTCCGAGAGGGCACCTCCCCGAGGGGCTGCACGCCTCCCTGGGAGGGCGAGTCGATGACTCCCATCTGTGTGCACGTCTAGTGCCGCGTATCTTGATAGCCCTGAATTAGGTGCGCAGGACAAGGCGCTTTCATCTTCGGCGGTTAATTAATTAGCCCGGACACCCTATAAAGCTAGGAAATTAGCGGCTTAAAGTGGATGTGCTGGGATCTGGCTCGGTGGTGAGTACTTGGTTTATGTGAGGTGGTGGTACACTAGGGCTACATGTATTGTAGTACATTCAGGCTACGTGAGCTACATACAGGCTCCATGTGCTACATACAGGATACATACAGGCTACACGTATGGTGCTACATAAAGGATACAGGTATAGGGCTACATACAGGCTACATGTATAGGGCTACATACAGGCTACATGTATAGGGCTACATAAAGGCTACGTGTATAGGGCTACATACAGGCTACATGTATAGGGCTACATACAGGCTACAGGTATGGGGCTACATACAGGCTACACGTATGGGGCTACATACAGGCTACATGTGCTACATACATGTTATAGGGCTACATACAGGCTACATGTATATATTAGGTCTAACATGCGAAGAGGTGGGTTATCTTTTGATATGGTCTAGTGTTAAATAGGGTGTTATGGTTTTATTAAACGCTGCCTTTTGTTTTATTTTGTTTATCTTTATTTTTTAAAATAACATTCAGCAATTAGAATCGGTTGGCTTACATTTATAATAGGTTTTAAGTTGTAAATTTATGCTACTGCCTTTTTTAAGTACAAATTTTGTCGTGGTTTGGAGTGGTGGTTGGGAGGGCAGCATATTCCCGTTTGACAACAGACGATGTTTCGACCAAAGGCTTCCATCAGCTTTTGCCAACTTCACCATGCACAGAGATATAACGTAGAGGTAGCCATCTGGTCGAAAGGTGGATAATTAAAACATGGATAATTAACACATGGATAATTAACAACGTTTTGAAGTTTTTTTAACTCTATAAAATGTGAATGGGGATAATATTTATTAAAATATACGGCATGTGGAGTGTGTTATAAATATGTGGAGGGTGTTGTAAATATTGATTAAGGAAATTAGAAAGTGAAAATGTTTACGGAAGAAATTTGTTTTTCACTGGTCCAGCAGACGGAAGATTCCTTGAAACCATCAAGGCGGTGTCAAACATCTGTACGCCTCCAGACAACACCTGTGGAGGGGGGGGGGGTAGCTTTGTACCTGGTGTTGGGGCAGCCTCATGCCTATGGGGGGGAGCAGCTTTGTACCTGGTGTTGGGGCAGCCTCATGCCCATGGGGGGGGGGGAGCAGCTTTGTACCTGGTGTTGGGGCAGCCTCATGCCCATGGGGGGGTATCTGGTGTTGTGACAGCCTCATGCCCATGGATGGGGGGGGGGCAGCTTTGTACCTGGTAATGGGGCAGCCCATGCCCGTGAGGTCTCACAGAAGGCGGAGCACGCAAGATCACGATTTACAGAACTCAGAGTCACATACACACCCCTTCACACACATACACACCCCCTCACACACACATACACGTCCCTTCACACACATACACACCCCCTCACACACACATACACACCCCCTCACACACATACACACCCCCTCACACACATACACACCCACACACACACACATACATACACACCCCCTCACATACATATACACACACTCACTCACACACACTTACAATCACACATACACACACATATTCATATACCAACATTCTTTATCCTACTTACCCACCTTGTTTGCCCTACCCTCCACCCCCCCCCCCCCCTCCGCCTAGATCACTGATCTAAGTGTTCAATAACTCCTTATAGAAGAGATTAAAATACGATATTTCAACTTGGTCGGCGTGGTTGAGTCGGTAAAGCTCATGGTTGCTAAACCGAGATCTCACGAGTTCAAACCCTCGGATAGATGAGGCTTGATAGACAGCCACTCTTTTAGGAGAGACAACTCCGAAATCAAACAACTGCTCATGATTATTAAAATTCGAAAAAGTCTCGATCCCTTCCAACAATAAATAATAATCATTAAAAAAGTTTTAAAAAACCCACGTTTTCTGATTGAACTAAAAAGTAGAAAATAAATACTATACATCACAATAATGCAAGCGATCACTCTACTATAAGCTATCAAAAACGTGGGTCGCCGAAGTAAAAGTTATATTACTATTGATTAGATAATACTATTGACTTTTATTAGGGAGCTTGTAGAGAGTCAACAGTATTAGAAACTGTAAGAAAATCACGGCGCCCCACGTTTTTGATAGCTTATAGTAGAGTGATCGCTTGCATTATTGTGATGTATAGTATTTATTTTCTACTTTTTAGTTCAATCAGAAAACGTGGGTTTTTTAAAACTTTTTTAATGATTATTATTTTCTACTTTTTAGTGTTTGTCTGTTTGTTTGCATGTAAATCTTGCTATCGATTTTATCTTTTCACTTTTTTTTTGGGTAAACGAAGACAACTCGTAAAAAGACAACTCGTAAAAAGACAACTCGTAAAAAACACGTTGTGTGAATACGTTACTGACTAGAACACATAGATTTGAACCCGTGTCGAGTGGGATAGCAATCGTGTGCCCAACCACTCGACCATATCGTCTCCCCCATACTGGCCACCAGTTGTTACGTTATGGTTGTTTGTACACAAACACAGCGTGACAACTACTCAGTAAGCAAAAAGAGGGGGAGTGCCGAACCTTGTTTTCATCAAATTACAGTTACTGGGTAATGTCCCTTTTCCCCCACGTTTTTTGGTACAATTATATAGCGGTCTAAAATGATCAATAAAATGTTTCCATGGATTAATTTAGTAATAAAAACAATAGAATATTCAATTGTCATCCAAAACAAAGCTTCCCTGAAAATTTCAGCGCGCTAGCTAACTGGGAAGTGCCAGAAATTTCGATCGCAAGATTGGATTGGAAAGACAAACAAACACACAGAGAAAGCAAGTTAAAGAAAACGTGGGAAAAAATTAAGAACGAAGAAGATTTCAACTAGATCTATCTAACATTTCCACGGAAAGATTTTTAAGGACTAATTTAATTAATTGAAGACAATTTTCGCACGACGGTGTAATTGTATACCTACACGTGAATAGACTGTGCACCAAACTACACTGTCCTTGAACGCTCCAAGTTTACAAACAAAGATGCTCAGCCCTAACCCATCATGTTTTTCTTGACCTAAACCTTTTCGCTATGGAAGATGAAAACGATGACAGTAAGTCAGATAAACTGAGTTTAGACTAAGTTTAAGAAGTTGGGACTGGAATTTTAATCAAGTTTTTGGCTGTTTTAACACTCGCTTCTAAGCTTAGAATAAAATAGTAAATCAAAATTCAAAATATAAAAACCTGTCTTTCAACTGGATTCACGTAGATCTAGTCATAGATCTAGATCTAGAACTGTATTCACATCTATTGTACAAAGTCTAGTCGTATTTTCTTACATACATTAGATACATTTCGAACGGCGTTTGCAATTAAAAGGTCCGTGTTTAGTCATTCATAGGTCTATGTTTAGTTATTCCGTGCGTGTCGTTAAGTGTTTAAAGATCTTTCTTTAGCTAATCAAAAGGTCAGTCTTTAATCATTCAAAAGTCTGTATTTTGCCATTTAAAATTCTGTGTTTAGTTATTCAAAGATCTGTGTTTAGTTTAATTATTTAAAGCTATGTTTATGCAGGAAAATATTCTACTTTATTTGTTTAATTTCTCACTTCATACGACGTTAGGATCCTGATCAGGCTTAGCCCTAGTGTTAAAGTTACAATAGCAGAACAAGCAAAGAATATTTTCGATGTCAAGTTGGCGATCAAAGAAACTGTGAATGCTAAAAGTTAAGGTTAGGCTAGCGCTTTATATCAGCTGGTGTTTCTGTTAGAGATAAACCAATGATATATTTTCGCACACTGACACGCTTATAACTAATGTAACTGCATAGCAAAAATGTGTTTCGGCGCTCGTATTAAACTTGATATTAACTTGTCTCGGCGTTAGGAAATTGTCGCTAGATATTCCAACTTTTTGTATAGAAAACACAATCGATGTGAAGTAGCAATCATAAACAAAACGTGGATCCTTAACCTACAATCCTATTCTGAAATATCTTGACGTGGTGTTTCCATCTTTGAGTTCTTACTTGTCATTATTTCTAAACAGATGGCAGTTATAAAGTGAAATTTGGGTTTGTTTCATGCTATTTTATTTCTAAACAGAAGGCAGTTCTAAAGTGAAATTTGGGTTTCTTTCAAGCGATTTTATTTCTAAACAGGTGGCAGTTCTAAAGTGAAATTTGGGTTTCTTTCAAGCTATTTTATTTCTAAACAGAAGGCAGTTCTAAAGTGAAATTTGGGTTTGTTTCATGCTATTTTATTTCTAAACATGTGGCAGTTATAAAGTTAATATTTTTTTTTTGCTTTCTTTGTTTTTCTCCATCTTCGTTCTTAATTCCAATATTGTATGGAAACTCCTCCAACTCAATTAAGTATTACGTGTCATCATGCTATGAGCCATATGGCCTGTTGACTCCGATTTCAACCTGTTTTACATTCTGAATTTGCCTTCATGGCATATTTTGTCCACCCAAGAACACTCTGCAAGGCAGCCGTTGTTAAATTTTAGAGTTGTCTCTCCTAGATATGTTGCTGTCCCCAGCTATCGAGCCTCATTTGCCCGGGACTTTTGGAGCTAGCTATCATACGCTTCTTCACACGACCGCGCAACCCTGCATATCTAGTTTAAAATTCGAGAAATTCCTTTAATTAAAATAAAATGCGTTTGCATGTTTAGTTTTTTAAGCTATATTGTTACCTAGCTATAATCACAAAAAGCTGTTAAGAAAATAAAAATAAAACTTTTCCATTAAGACTCCCCCCAGCACGACGAGGAAGAGAAACAAGAAGAAGTGACAACTCCCGAGCACCCAGAAGACGGCCAGTCGATACCAGAAGAAGATGAAGGAATCCGATCGTCTACGAGGGATATTATGTCAAAGAGTGAAGAGGATGAAATGTCTGGCCAATCAAATGAAGACCGTGGAGTGGGGGGAGCCGTCAAAGACGAGACGGGGGGTAAACTGGTACGACAGAGCATCGGCGAAGGTAGCGCGACTGGTGAGAACGATGAAGGAGCACCCCTCCCACCCACGGCGGTATTCACGCAGGAATCAGCCACCAGAGTTCTGTCCGCTCTGTCTGTGGGCTCGAACAATGACGAGAGGGAGGACGACGAACCGCCGGAGGAAATCCTCTACGAATGGAAGGGAGAGCTCGAGGAGTATGACGAGCCCGATATTTATCCATCTGAAAAAGATTATAAATGGGTGGAAGAACTTGTTGAGGCATCAGATGAGGAGGGGTATTCGGAGACAAGTAAGGGAACTGACCTGGGGAGCCTCGCCGCCCAAGCCGAAGCCAGCGAAAAGGTGGTGGCACCCCAAGTACCCGAGGCTGAAGGAGCAACACAGGCTGTGTCGGAAGAGGGAGTGTCCGTCACGGACGAGGCAGCAGCCGAAGGAAAAGACGCCGATGCTGAAGAAACGTTTGAAGTCGCAACAGTCGAGCCGGAGCAAGAACCAGAACCTGAACCGCCGAAGAAAAGGTACAAGAAAATCTTAGTTAAAAAACTGGTGGAGCGGCCACCGAAGATCCACTATGAGCCTCGTTACGAAAGGGTGGCGGACAATACAAACGACCCCGGTTATTTCATCCACGCCCCCGTTACGCTCATCCACTCCTTCGGCTATGACGCCCAGCGCATGGCGAACCTGCACGTGCTGGATGAACAGACACTGGTCTTTATGTCCGGGTTTGTGCTCACATTCCTGGACCACACAACTCTCCACAAGACTTACCTCAAGTGTCTGGGCGGATCGTGCTTCGGCGCCCTGGCCGTGCACCCCAGTAAAATTCTGTTCGCGGCGGCCGAGAAAGGGAAAAATCCCGTGATAGGGATTTGGTCGTGGCCAAAACTGCAGCTGTTTCGAAAACTTAGAGAGGGCACAAACAAAGTTTACGCTTCGGTGAACTTCAGCCCAGACGGGAGGCTGCTGGCGTCACAAGGGGGAGAACCCGACTATCTCATCACGGTGTGGAACTGGCTGGCCGAGACCCCCATCCTGAGGGTCAAGTCGCACTCCCAAGACGTGTACAGAGTGACCTTTTCAAAAGAGTTAGCGGGGAGACTAACCACCTCAGGTCTGTGTCATATCAAGTTTTGGAAGATGGCGGACACCTTCACAGGGCTCAAACTTAAAGGCGATATCGGGCGATTCGGGCGGACGGAGCTGTCCGACATAGAAGGTTATATCGAGATGCCGGACGGCAAGGTGCTGAGCGGCAGCGAGTGGGGGAACCTGCTGGTCTGGGAGAACGGGCTGATCATCGCAGAGCTGTGTAGCAGGGTCGACGTCCCCTGCCACGACGGCATCGTCCGGCAGGTGTTGCTGACGGATGGCGAGTTCTACACGACGGGGCAGGACGGATGGGTCAAGACGTGGAACTACGACGCCGTGGACACGGCTGAGATCAACACGAGTGAGGAGAGCATCAAGGTCCCCATCAAGGTCATGGCGCAGGTGCAGGTGGCTGACGGGGCCGACATCTGGTCCATCGTCCCCAACATCCCCGACCCCAGTACCAGCTCCATATTCTGGTTCGCCCAGGACGGCGCGGGCTCCATATGGAAGGTCGACCTGTCCTTTTTAAACACGGCTAAAGAGCCGATGCTCATCTCCACGGCCCACGGCGGGCCAGTGGTCGGTTGCCAGATCTCCAACGACAACTGCCTGTTTGCTACACTGGGCAAAGACGGCCAGGTCAGGGTCTATAACTACTTGTCTAGGGAGTTGGTGGCCAGACGACATTTCACTTCTGCAGGTTCATGCTTCCTTTGGCCGTCTACACTGATAGACGGCCAATTTAATAAAATGATCGCAGGATTTAGCGACGGTACCCTACGAGTCATGCAACTGTCGGGTGTCCCGACAAAAGACCTGCCCCTGTCCATCATTCTGCTCAGCGCCATGAAACCTCACGCTCGGAAAATCACATCAATGGCGCTCGACAAAAACGCTGAACATTTCGTCACAGGGAGCGAAGACGGAACCGTTTTTTTCTTTGATGTCAAGCAAAATTTTCTTCCGATGGTTTTTGTCGCCATGCCGGATTATCGAGGCGTGTCGTTCCTCAAGTGGAATTATTTACCCCAGGAGAAAAAGACAGTCTTCGCCGTGCTAGACGGAGGGTTTATCCAAGAGATTGGCGTGCCGGAGAAGAAGCACATCCACAACGAGACGTCCTACCACTACATGGAGTCAGCGCTGCTGAAGAGCTACTACTTTAAGAGCATCAAGTCTCAGCTGAGACACAATGAGGAGCTGGAGAGAGAACGGCTGGCGGAGGAGGCGAGACAAGCAGCACAAGAGGAAGAGAACCGGAAGAAAATCACAGAGGGAATGGAGACTCAGTCCGAGCAGGACTTGAGACTCCTGCAAGAGGCGGAGGAGTTTGAGCGGCTGAAGCTGGAGGAGAAGCCTAAGCCAAAGTGGGAGCCGTACTACCCACCCGAGCCGAGCCCCATCCTGTGTCTGATGCCGGGGGTCAGGGAAAACGAGATGTTTCTCTCCATGGGGAAGTACGACTCGGGGTATCTGTACCACGTCAAGATGAACAGCAAGGTCAAGGCCGAGCCGCAGCCCCAGGAACCCATTGGCGCCATCCCCGTCGAGGACTCTGACGATGTACCGATTACCGCCTTTGCGACCAGCGTAGACGGGGATCAATTCGTATTCGGTTTTGCTGACGGACGAATACGAATCCAGAAATGTATCTATCCGTTCGACCTGGACAATATGGGCCCCTACTGGACCGAGGGCGTCCACGACTGCGTCAAGGGCAGCATCACGTCCATAGCACTGGACATGAAAGGTGTGTTCATGATCACATGCGCCAACGACGGGAACACGTTCCTGCACTCTTTCCTCCACCCGGACATGCTGGACCGGTACCTGGAAAATCTGTACTTCCACGAGGTGCCGTACGTCACGCAGCCGACCACCGTCCAGGATATCATCGACCCAGACGCCTACACGCTGGAGAAATATAAAAACATTGAGAAAGAAATGGCGCTACTGGCTGCGGCCAAACGCAGCAAGGCGGCGAGAAAGGAAGAGATTGTTCGTCTGCGGCTGTGGTACTGCGATATTTTAAGACAAAACAGCGAGCTGCCTGAAGATTCTCGCTTGACCCACACCGAGCTGTCCATTACCTCAGACAACAGCGTCAGGAGAGAAGAAGAGCTGAAGGGGGCGCTGAAGAACTTAGAAGTAGAGATGGCGTGGGAGACAGAAAAATGCAACATCGCTTTATCTAAGATGAAGTCCGCATACAAGGACACACTGCACAACGAGTTGTTCAAACTCAAGTCCTTCAACTCCAATTTGTCGGTTTGTTCGTTCCGTCTGCCAAAGATGCCGCCGTTTTTTGAAGCTGCTAAAGACAGGATCGAGCACCAGAGGACGCCGCACGCGGTGGAGTCAGACATTATAGAAGACGACCTGTCGTCCCACGTCAGCTCCGTCATGACGCACGAGCCCAGGCCGAGAAAAGTGTCCGGCATGGACCGGTTTGTTTACCAGCGGCAGGTCAGGCTGTGGGAGAGGAAGCAAAGGAAGATTCAACGCAGCCAAGTCTGGAAGGATTTCCTGGCCACGGAGCCGAAGGGCAAGGAGTTGAGGGAGGAGGACAAGGCCATCGAGAAGGCCATGACCAACATGGGGGACATGAAACTCAAGATGGCGCCTGACTATAAGGTCCCTGAGGATAAAAAGCTAACAGAACACAGGGCGCGTAAAAAATGCGTGTTCCTAGAGGAGATAATATTCAACCTGAAGAACGAGTTTAATCAGAAGTTAATTAAACTACGGCATCAGAAGATCGCACACATCAACAGGATGAAGGAGTACGTGAGGGTGATTGAGGAGAAACAGAAGCTACTGCCAGCCGGCGAGCAACTTCAGATCCCAGAGATTGAGGAGATGACCATCGAGGAAAACCCTTACTCATACATGTACTACACGGTCGAGGACATCAAGATATACAAGAGACAAATGGAGGAAAAGATGAAAGCTGCGGCCTCACAGATCAGCGCTAAAGCTGCCAAAAAACCGGAAGTTCCCGCCAAAAGAAGGCTGATGGGAAACCAAAACCTGTATCGGAAAGTCTCATCCGGCTCAAATAAAGTTGAAAGTGTGGATCAAGAGCCGCAAGAAAAAAAAGAAAGCTTCGACCTTGGTAACCACGTGGAGGACATAGTCTCCGAACCCTCGCCCTTAGAGCGCCAGATGGCCAAGGTTAACTTGACCAACGCCCGGTTCTACCAACAATACTACACCAAGCTGATAGACGAAGAAAAGAAGGCGTTCGATGTTAAGCTCAAACTCCTGCGGCACCGTAAGCTGAAGCTGGACTACCTGCTGAAGATTGCCGACGAGCGAATGGTCCTGTTGATTGACGAGTTTATCCTGGCACAGCGGAGCGAGGCTATGGAGGCGTCCATAGAGTTGAAGATCCTGGACGCCAACAAGGAGAAGAAAGACTGCAGCACGCAATTCAAAACACTGCAGAAAAAACTGGAACTCGTGAAAAAAGACATGGAGGGCTACGTAAAACAAAGGCAGGTCTTGTTGTCCGAAGTTATGCAGATTGCGACCAGGGCGCCTGCGTTTGAGAAGTACCTCATCCGTGTGTTTAATAAAAAATTAGGCAAACAGAAACGTAAATCTGTTGTCAATTCCGAGGTGTCTAACCCAGAAAGTGACGAGGACAGCGAATCTAGCAGCGATATGGACATTGAGGAGGAAGATGATGACGACGATGGGTTGGATGTTGATCTCCCTCCATCAGAGCTCAACAAAGAAATCTACGAGCAGGTGCTAGAGGTCAGAGACAAACGCTACGTCATCGACGAGTACGAGGCTGCGACTCGAGAAGTATACGATGACGTCAACAACGGCATGAACGCCTTGAAAGCAAAGATACGCGACGCCGATAAGAACCTGGAGACTGGGCGAAGAGATTTGGACGCTTTTATCAAAGAGAAGCAGGAGAAGCAGAACGATCTGGACTGCACGGTGTCCATCAAACTCCACCAGATCTTCCTCATGGATGAGGACATGAGGGACGCCCTCTGTACGGACAACGACACCATCGAGCAGCTACGGAACCGGATTCCGGAGCTCAGGAAAGAGACGGTTATACAGAAGAAGAAAGGCAAGGACATCAAGAAGCAGCACTATACGCTGCAGAGAGAGAAAAATAAATTCCTTGATCGGTAAGTCGAACGGTCGTTTGATGTTTAGTCTATGTTTGTTTGATGTTTAGTCTAATATTCGTTTAATGCTTAGTGTAATGGTCGTTTGATGTTTAGTCTAATGGTCGTTTGATGTTTAGTCATATGGTCGTTTACTGTAAAAGATGTATATTATATATCTATTCCTCTTTTGTGAAGAAGATTGCACAAACCTTGGCATTTCCAATCTACTTACACAGCCGAATACAGCTTTCTAAATGCTATTTATTTACTGCGAGGAGAGTTTTTTAGAATGATTTGTAATAACATACAATGACATATATGGATTTCAAATGAGATCTAGTGACATGTAGTAGCATGACATATAATGAGTTTAAATTATATGTAATGTAACGAACAGACATGTAGTGACATTAACTGACATGAACTGACATGCAATGCCATATAATGCCATTTAATACCATGTATTCAATGTAATGTCATGTAATGTCATGTAATGTCATGTAATGTTGTGTAATGTCATGTAATGCCCTGTAATGTCATGAAATGCCCTGTAATGTCATATAATGCCATTTAATGGCTTGTACTGTCATGTAATGCCATATAATGCCCTGTAATGCCCTGTAATGCCCTGTAATGTCCTGTAATGCTCTGTAATGCCCTGTAATGCCCTGTAATGCCCTGTAATGCCCTGGCCACCAACAGCCTGGAAGAGATGAAGGCTAAGTGTGACACCGAGATGATCAAAAAGTTTGGCACCGTGAGGGCTATAGAGGAGCTCGAGTATTTCTCTAAGGACCCTGAGATACTCACCCTCCAGCACGAGCAGGAGATGATCGAGGTGAGTTAAGGTCAAGGTCAGTCTGATCATATCAGGTGAGTTGAGGTCAAGGTTGGTCTGATCATATCAGGTGAGTTAAGGTCAAGGTCGGTCTGATCATATCAGGTGAGTTGAGGTCAAGGTTGGTCTGATCATATCAGGTGAGTTAAGGTCAAGGGTCTGATCGTATCAGGTGAGTTAAGGTCAAGGTCGGTCTGATCGTATCAGGTGAGTTTAGGTTAAGGTCGGTCTGATCATATCAGGTAAATTAAGGTCAAGGTCGATCTGATCATATCAGGTGAGTTTAGGTCAAGGTCGGTCTGATCATATCAGGAACAGGGAAGGCGTGGTTGGATGGTAGAGCCTGCGACTACTAACCCGAAAGTCTAGAGTTCGGATCACTAGCACGAGTCTCTAATACGCCCCTGAGCCTACTCAGCTCTGATGGGTACCTGACTAACGTTAGGGAAAGTAAAGGCGGCTGTCTACAATAGCCTATCATATACCGAGGTCACAGAAACAGATGAACTCTACTTCATCTGCCACATAGATCGTAGATTGATGGGGTAACTTTACTTAAGGGTCAAACTGGTTATATCAGGAACAAATCAGTTAAAAGTTTAGGAAAGGACCAAAATATGTTTAAAAGTTTAGGAAAGGACCAAAATATGTTTTAAAAGTTTAGGAAAGGACCAAAATATGTTTAAAAGTTTAGGAAAGGACCAAAATATGTTTTAAAGTTTAGGAAAGGACCAAAATATGTTTTAAAAGTTTAGGAAAGGACCAAAATATGTCTTAAAAGTTTAGGAAAGGACCAAAATATGTCTTAAAAGCTTAGGAAAGGACCAAAATATGTCTTAAAAGTTTAGGAAAGGACCAAAATATGTTTACAGTTTAGCGAAGCACCAAAGTGTGTTTTTAATCAGGTTTTCAAATTTGTAATTTTTGGCGTCTTCTTGTCCGGCCTGTGTTGTGTTAAACATCTTACCATGTCCGGCCTATGTTAAACATCTGACCATGTCCGGCCTATGTTAAACATCTGACCATGTCCGGCCTATGTTAAACATCTGACCATGTCCGGCCTGTGTTGTGTTAAACACCTGACCATGTCCGGTCTGTGTTGTGTTAAACACCTGATAATCTCCGGCCTGTGTTGTGTTAAACACCTAACCTATCGTGTGTTGTGTTTAACAGAAGCAGCACGCATACGACCTACACCACTACGGTATAGAGCAGCGTATGTGTGTTACTGACCGTGTTGACGTCACACGCCGCCATGCCGAGCGGATGTACGGGAAGGCGGACATGATGTACCAGGTGAACGATATGACCAAACAGATGGACGAACAGATGCGCCACCTACCGTCTGAGTATGAGGATATCACCACCCAGAAAGAGATTGCCTTCCTAAAAACGGTAAGCTTTGTTGGTTGCGCTACGTGTCCATAATCATAATTCTAAACGCAGTTTTGATACAAGAGGGAAGAAAGTTTGGCGGTTAAAATTTTAGAATTGTAATTACATTAATTAGTGTTAGAAGTTTAAAGTGACATTTGATGGGGTTTGAACTGGATCTCCGAGACGTATAAGCCGACAACGCAAACTACAAACCGACACCACAAGTCACACAGAAATATGCCAGACACTAACTTGCAATACAAACACTTGATTCGCTTTAATACACTCGGACAATACCTCGTCGATATTTTACTTTAGCTCTAACTGGCCAATACAGCGTCGATATTTGACTTGAGCTCTTGATGGACGATACCGCTGTCGGTATTTGACTTTAGCTGTAACTGGGAAATACCTTATCACTACTTGACTTAAGCTCTAGATATACAATACCTCGTCGAAATTTGTCCTAAGCTCTAACTGAGCTGCACTCACAAGTAGATTCACCACTACCATCACCCCTGTTAAATCCCCTTCCCCACCACCATCATCACCCCCGGTTAAATCCCCTCCCCACCATCACCACCACGGTCAAATCCCTTCCCCACCATCATCATCCCAGTTATATCCCTTTACCAGCATCCCTCCCCCGCCCCTCGTTTAAATCCCCTCTCCACCATCACCACCCCGGTTAAACCCCCGATACGGCCACCAATAATGTATTCAGATTTAAAACAAACACACCGGACGTGACGTAACAGACCTGCACTTGTCTTACAGGTGGTGGAAGATCAAAGGCAGGTGCTAAACGCCCTGAAACGTGAAATAGGCCGCATGACGTCACGTCTCAAACCTCTGCCGCCAATCCACCATCAAAATAAAGATCAATGATTGGCCGGTCGTGGACACGTGATTTCCCAACAAATGAAGAGCATTGATTGGCTGGCGCTGGTCATGTGATGGAGTAGGCCAACATGTACTCTAATCAAAATGTAATTTATGCAATTTCTATGTCGTAGAAATTGCATCAATGTACCACGTATACATATACATATACATATACATATATATATATATATATATATATATATATATATATATATATATATATATATATATATATATATATATATATATATATATATATGTATGTATATATATATATATATATGTATATATATATATATATATATATATATATATATATATATATATATATATATATATATATGTATATATATATATAAATTCATATTTATATTCAATTTATTAAAATCTTATATCTACGTATTTTCACCTATAATTTTATTCCAATGAGAAATAATTAGTCTACCTACTTAATTGCTTTTAGTCATTTTAAGGCTACCGTTATATTTTTGAAGAAATTAATAAAATATTTGAAATGAATTTATGCGTGTTATTTGTGACTTGATATTTATAACATATCTGTGTTTAATGTTTGTGACTTAGTATTCTTGTGTGTTTGAATGGTGCTGTGGGAATGACTCGATGCACGTGCATTTATTACATGCTATTTTTATCACCGTCAGTACATATCTTACCATTGTGAGTTAAAGTGGTTGTAGAGTTCCTCAAGGAATTCTGGGTCGAGCACGTGACAGGAAACGCAACACGTAGACACTCTCCCCTTGTAATTGCGGAAGTGGGCGTGGTGGGCCGTGTACTCCTATTTGTCAGACCGAAAGGTCAAGTGGAGCCGCAGGTCCCTGGGTATCGTGTGCGGCTCTTGCGCGGCCCATGTGGGCTGGGAGATGTGTAACATCTTGAGAGGTGTGTAGCAGATACACACATCACCTACTCGAGTGTGTAGCATCTTAAGAGGTGTGTAGCAGATACACACATCACCTTTACATGTGTGCAGCATCTTGAGAGGTGTGTAGCAGATACACACATCACCTACTGAGCAGTGTTTCTTCCAGACTTTTTTCTCCGGGGGGGGCACTTGAAATTTTCGGGGGGGCGGTAAACTTTCTTCGGGGGGGCGGACACTGTTAAAAGTATATATTTTCTATATAAATTATATAAATTTCATTCCGTTCGGGGGGGGGGGGGGGGCGGTAAAAAAATTTCGGGGGGGCTTAGCCCCCCCGAAGAGATGCCTGGAAGAAACTCTGCTACTGAGTGTGTAGCATCTTAAGAGGTGTGTAGCAGATACACACATCACCTACCCGAGTGTGTAGCATCTACATACTCGGGTAGGTGATGTGAAGATCTCATTCAAGGGCGTACACTGGTCTACATCACTGTACCAATAATACACTCTCCAACCTTTTAACTTCGGAGCTAAAGTCTACATCACTGTACCAATAATACACTCTCCAAACTTTTAACTCCGGAGCTAAAGTCTACATCACTGTACCAATGATACACTCTCCAAACTTTTAACTCCTGAGCTAAAGTCTACATCACTGTACCAATAATACACTCTCCAAACTTTTAACTCCGGAGCGAAAGTCTACATCTCTGTACCAATGATAAAAGGTAAAAGATTATAATGAGATGGAAATTGTGAGATAAAAAGAGATTATAATGAGATGAAACTTGTAAGATAAAAAGAGATTATAATGAGATGGAAATTGTGAGATAAAAAGAGTTTATAAGGAGATGGAAATTAAAAAGAGATTATAGTGAGATTAAATTTGTGACACTTTACAATCGACACCATGAAGCCGTGAATTACATCATATTTCAGATTTACTTAACTTCTGATTTAATATCTTTAGAGCTGATACTCTACAGGACGGTGTTTTTTTAAAGTTGTTTTTTACCAAGCATCAGTTACTTATAATCTAAAATAACTTAAATATCTCACAAGTTGATAACTTAAATGTGTCTGCAATAAGAATATGTCTTAAAAATTATATGTTTTATTTTTTAAAATTAATTTTCTTTCAACCATTAGGTTTTTAAATTATTTATCAATATTTTAAAATAGCTTTAAATAGTTTATTTATAATAAGCGCTAGGATGTAAAATATAGAATAAATAAAGTACCAAGTGTTAAATCACTAAGATGAGTTGCCGGTTTTTAAATTTTATTTTGTTAATATTTATAACAGGCTACTTTCAAAATTATTTGGTTTGAGAGTATCACAATGATATTATCCTAATATACAAATCCCCACGTTCGCACATCTCTCTCTCTCTCTCTCTCTTTCTCTGTCCGCAAAAAATTTTCGCCGGACATCACGGCAGAATCGGCAGCGATATATCGAGAACTTTTTACGGACTTTTGTTGAAAATAATATGTTAGATGTTTTAAATGTATAACCACAATTTTATTTAAAGAAGAAAAATAAAAATTTAAGGCGTATTCGAATGTAGAGAAACAGTATTATTTATGCAACCGGAAAAGCATTAATGGATGTGAAAAAGAACGCATAAAACTGTGACGTCACTATTGCTTATACATTAACTAATGACGTCATCTGCCGTGTTTAGAATGAAAAGAAATGAACTATTTCATTCAAATTTGATTTAGATCTACGTACACTATGAAATGTATACAATACAATTTTTCCGGCCTAAACTCATAAAATTTATTTTATGTATTTGGATTCTAGATCTAGAGATTCTAGATCTAGACTAAATCTAAATCTAAATCTACGCAATAACTAGATCTAGACGTAGACGCTAAGATCTAGATTTAGACTCTAACTTCTCTAAAATCAATTCCAAAAATAAATTTCTATATTAGGACTAAACTATTTCAAGACTTATTTATTTTATACAAAATCTTTGTTTGGAACTGGCTAATTTGGGATAAAAAATTAATTTGAAAGAATAGGCATATTCGCGTAAGTTAAGATTTTAAAATACGTGTTTCATTCTCCGTATTTTATAAGGTGCCTAAATAGCGGAGATGTTAGTGTACATTAAACCACGCAGGTGGTGCGGGTTCGAGACACAGCAAGTCAACTTGGTTAATGTATTCTTTTTTATTATGCTCGGGCTAAACTTAAAAAAAAATTCTTTTAGGAATCTAGATCTAGATCTAGATTGTCGGGTGTCCGATAGGGCACTTCCCGGCGCCGCAGGCGCTTCAAATTTGGCAGGATCTTGCCTTGGGGCGACAGAACACGGGGGCCGGTTGGCCGAAAAGTCTACGATGAGGGGGTCAAAACTGACCTCGACTGACCGGTACCTTATATGAGCTATAAATCGAAAAAAAATGTCCACGGAGGAACCTCTTCATAACTCTTGAGGTCGTAGACCGACCCTCGGGCGAATTAATTAAGCATGCAAATTCTCAATGTTTTCGAAAGCCTAAGCGAAGCTGGGCAGCATGCCTAGTTTAATAGAAAAAAATGGAATGACAATACTAAAATGGAGAAGATTTCAATCAATTTTATTATATGCATTCCATCGACTACAGAAAATATACTGCATGGTTGAAAAAATTGTGTGAGGTTGAGTTGGGGCATGGTTTTGTTGAAAAAGTTGTTTAAGGTTGAGTTGGTGCATGGTTTTTAAGCAATTCTCCAATGTGTGATGCTTTATGTCGTGAGCTTTTTTACCAGTGAGATACTTCAAATACAGGTGCATTTATCATCGTGTACATTATTTACGTGTACATTAGTATTTTCCGTGTGTATAGCCCAGTTGTCACATTTTTTATGTTACCATGTAGTCTATTGCCGTGGTGTACTTGTGTACAGGCATCTTGTCCCTGTGTACATCTTATCCCTGTGTACATACATCTTGTCCCTGTGTACATCTTATCCCTGTGTACATATTGTCCCTGTGTACATCTTGTCCCTGTGTACAGACATCTTGTCCCTGTGTACATCTTGTCCCTGTGTACATCTTGTCCCTGTGTACATCTTGTCCCTGTGTACATCTTGTCCCTGTGTACATCTTGTCCCTGTGTACATCTTATCCCTGTGTACATCTTGTCCCTGTGTACATCTTGTCCCTGTGTACATCTTATCCCTGTGTACATCTTATCCCTGTGTACATCTTGTCCCTGTGTACACAATGTCCCTGTGTACATCTTGTCCCTGTGTACATCTTGTCCCTGTGTACACATTGTCCCTGTGTACATCTTGTCCCTGTGTACATCTTGTCCCTGTGTACATCTTGTCCCTGTGTACACATTGTCCCTGTGTACAACTATGTTTCTGTATACAACTTATCCTTAAGTTTCTCAGAACAGGTGGACACATCAACCCAACAGAACAACCCAATAGAACAACACAACAGAACAACCCAACAGAACAACCCGATAAAACAACCCAACATAAAAAGAGAACAGTATTTATATGAATATATTTTCTCTGATACAGGTAAATTACAGTCATTGATAGAACCATTGCACAGATCCAAGGGTAGCAGTGACGTGTTAATTAATTAAACACTGTGCTCAATAATATGGCTAATTAAAGAAGGCATGAAGAAAACAAATAGCAAGATGTTGACTTTAATATTGTTTGCTGTGATCAGCCATTTTAATCTCTACAGCTTCAAAACATTCACACGTTCCTAACAACAATCTTAACATTCTTTCACCAGTCGTATAAGTGTAACAACATTCATACTACAGCAATCAAAAACAGCAAGTTAAAAAAATAACATTTATAGGGCTGGTAAGTAGGTCACCAACCAGTTCTACGGCTCAGTAAAACCTGCATGAGCCACAGAACTGGTTGGTGACCTACTTACCAGCCCTATAACTTTCAACTACAAGCAGAATATTTTCGAATAATACAATTTTTATAATACTAACCCTCTATGTTAAATAGGCGATTTAAATCTTCTGGCAATTACACTTTTTTTTTTTTGCAATTTTAAAATTTCTTACATTATTAAACGTTTTAAAAATCGAATCTTCTTTATTCACACTTGATGATTTTAAAATTGCATAAATTTCTGTAAGGACAATTTTAAATAATATTTGCCATATTAATGCAGTAATTATCAGGTCATCTAGTCAGATGAGACTAGCATCTGATTCAGCGTCATGTAACGTGCTCCGTAGTCTCATGAAAAGTGTTTTTTAAATTATCCTTAAGAATTTAATTTCTTCGATTGGAATATATGCCTTTTTACATTTTTGAATCCACATCCAACTGGTTTTTTTTTCATGAAAGTATGCCATGTATTATTTTAAATTTTCAATGACTAGAAATTAAAAGCAGTCACGATAGTATTTAAAATTCAAGTTTTGAATGGAAGCAGACTTGATTGAGTTCTAATCCAAATTTAACGAAAGCAGAGTTGCCATTCTTCGGTCTTTTCGTGTAAATGTACACAAATGACATGTCACAAATGACATCACATGCTACACATGTCAAATGTCACGATGACTGACTGGCTCTGTTGCTAAGGTTTCGTAATAGGGTGTGTCGGTTGCTAAGGGCGTCATGATTGGGTTTCCTTTTACTTTTTAAGTACGACACGATGCAATCACTTGTAACACACATTTTAGCCAATGCTATTTTTATAATGAATGATCATCATGTATAGACTGCTCATCAAGTAATGAATGGCCATGAAATGACAGGTACCCTAACTATGGTCACCATTACACCTGTGATACCGTAACACCATAACAAATTCTGTAAGTGGCCGGACAAGTCAAGCTACATTCACATGAAAACACAAATCACAAATTGAAGGCACGGCAGGTTTTTAACAGCGGCCATCTCACTAACATAAGTTTCCGAACGGCCATCCCACTAACATCATGGATTCCACCGGCCATTCCACAAATATCAGGCCATCAACTATTTAAATATAACCTCCTAGACTAGGCAAACTGTTATTGAAACTGTAATCTAGTTTTAAAAATATTGTTTAATAGATTTTCCAGCGTACGCTGAATCCACCAGAATATATAAAAAGTCGAGTGTATATAATATTCCCGGAATCTTTGGTTATAAGTTCCACATTTTAAATCCAGCTGGTGGATGTGGATTCTGTTTATGACGTGGCCGACTAGTGCCCACTCATGTGCCACGCCCCCTCCATCCTCCACACACTGAAGGCATAGCTAAGTCTCTCGTGGGCCATATAGCTGCAGCTAGACGGGAAGTACTTCATCTCTGTCTCATCGCTTCGTAGAATCTGGAACAGGAAGTCGATGTACCGGCAGGCCAGCTTTAGAGTCTGTATCTTGCTGAGTTTGTCGGAGGGCAGAGTGGGGATGATCTTGCGCAGCTGAGAGAAGGCCTCGTTCAGGGATTCTGTTCTCTGGCGCTCCCGTACGTTCGCCAGGCAGCGCTGTGCTTGTAGCTCTTCTGGGGATTGGGGGCTTTTCCTGCGGGCTTTACGTGCCGCCTCGCTGTTGGGGGAGGACTCCGCCTTGTACGGCCGCTTGCGGGATCTGTGCTGCTGGAAGGGATCTGATCTGTCGGCACAGCTGTCGGCAGAGGAGCAGGACCGGGGGAACTCCTGCAACAGAGAGGGGACAGTTAGGACATTTGATCTTTGTAGGTTTGATCAGGACATGTAACATTTGTAGGACAGTTAGGACATGTGATCTTTGTAGGTTTGGTCAGGACATGTAACATTTGTAGGACTGGTAGGACATGTGATTATACAGGTGTAGGACTTGATCAGGACAATGTTTTAACATGGCACATATTTGTAGGACAGTTAGGACATGTGATCTTTGTAGGTTTGGTCAGGACATGTCACATATTTGTAGGACTGGTAGGACGTGTGATTATACAGGTGTAGGACTTGATCAGGACAATGTTTTAACATGGCACATATTTGTAGGACAGTTAGGACATGTGATCTTTGTAGGTTTGGTCAGGACATGTCACATATTTGTAGGACTGGTAGGACGTGTGATTATACAGGTGTAGGACTTGATCAGGACAATGTTTTAACATGGCACATATTTGTAGGACAGTTAGGACATGTGATCTTTGTAGGTTTGGTCAGGACATGTCACATATTTGTAGGACTGGTAGGACGTGTGATTATACAGGTGTAGGACTTGATCAGGACAATGTTTTAACATGGCACATATTTGTAGGACAGTTAGGACATGTGATCTTTGTAGGTTTGGTCAGGACATGGCACATATTTTAGGACAGTTAGGACATGTGATCTTTGTAGGTTTGGTCAGGACCTGTCGCATATTTGTAGGACAGCTAGGACATGTGATCTTTGTAGGTTTGGTCAGGACATGTCACATATTTGTAGGAATGTTAGGACATGTGACTAAACATGTGTAGGACTTGTTCAGGACAATTTTATAACATGACAAATATTTGTAGGACTTGTTCCGTCAAATATTTGCCTAGTAGGCCTACTTTGAATTAAAGTTAGGGTAAAGAATCAACACTTTGAATTAATGCACGATTTAACAAAATCCCGCACTAATCTTTCACTTCTTCATGTGGTAATTTTATGTCTGATTATAATTATTGGGTTTCAAAATTGTTTACAATATATAATAAAAGAAAATAATGATGATCTCTTCAATTTAGCAGATGTACAAGTGTGTGTAAATATTTGTCCCATGTCGCTATCATAAAGCTATGGAAACGATCACTTAACATACGAGGGGTTTTATAAAATAGTTTTTTCACCTTTAAGGTTTTAAAAGAATTATTTTTTCACGAGTATAAACAGAATTAGCGCGATGAATTGTTCTGGTAATATAGGCTACCAATGTAACCATCAAACAATACATGGACGTTTTGTTTGACAAATGCTAGATCATGATTTGCTAAGTTTCCTCTGTTACCAATCTAATATATAAAGCTCAGTTCTGTATGTAATGCATATGTTTGTCGTTGACAGTTCTATGGATTTAAGTGTTAGATTTTTAGCGTGCTCATAGTCTAAATGTACGAGTCAAAAAATTACCATTGAAAGTCTTTAAAAACAATTTTCATTCTATTTACTTAGAAGAATAATTTTCAATTATGAACGCGACATAAAATTTTTTAAAAATGTATCGACGTTTATAAAATTTCTAAAATTGTGTCGGAAATGTATTGACTGCACAGTTACTTCCCTTTAATAAAAAAAATTCTTAAGAAGAAAGAATTTACATTTTATTACTTTGTTTTTGGTGTTAAGAAAAAAAAAATAATTACATAATTAGCGGGGATTGATAAAGTGCAATGTCGTTAGGTATTTTTAACACTGCCTTTTATTTATTCTATACACTGAACATACTGTTCAATATTTTTTTTTTTAAATCAATAACATTTAATAAGCCAGGTCCTACAAATCCTATATGTTTTTTTCTTTCCATTTACGGATAAGCTTGGAGTATTATCATTTTTGTTCACTAAATTGAAACAGGCGCGTCCGCCGGCGCCCTTGCACGGTTCGATTTGGCACCCTGGGCTATCATGTGAGCGCTATGCTGCATAGTTTTGTTTTTAACAGTGCGATAGACTATGGGTAAGAAAGGTTACTATAGACTTTAAGTGAATCAAATCCGGGCGTCCTCCGGCACCCCGACAGGGTGCTATTTGGCGCCCCGGGCCTTCCGGTGTACGCTATGGTATATACGTTCGCGTGAGTTCAAAAGACTATGAATAAGTTATGTACTATAGTCGTTTACAAAGTTCAATCAGGCGGTGACGTCATGGTGCGTCCTCTGGCGCCCAGACAGGGTGCTATTTGGGGTCCCGGGCCTCCCGTGTTCGGTTTCGCGCCTACGTTCATTAAAGTGATTGCAAAAGACTATGAATAAGTTGGGGTACTATAGTCGTTTATTAAGCTGAAACAGGCGATTCCGCCCCGGGCTAGACTCTGAGCACTGTGCGTTTATGTTCGCGTTAGTGTTTTCTTTGTGTTTAGGTTGGGTTTGCGTTAGTGGTTGCGTTTTGATTTGGTTCGTTTTTGTTCTTTCTTTTTTCGTTTTCGTTTGTGTTTTATTTTCTTTGCGTTTGTGTTTGTATTTGTGTTTGTGGTTGGTTTTGCGTTTGTATTTGGTTTGTTTTCGTTTGTTTTTTCGTTTGTGTTTTTTTCTTTGGGTTTGTGGTTGGTTTTGCATTTGGATTTGGTTTGTTTTCGTTTGCTTTTTCGTTTGTTTTTTTCTTTGTGTTCGTATTGGTGTTTGTGGTTGTGGTTGGGTTAGTTGTTAGGTTTTTGTTTTCGTTTGTATTTGTAATTGTGTTAGCGTTATGTTTGCGTTTTGTTGTTTTGGTTTTGGTTTGGGTGTGCAATGCCGGGTTTATGATGATTACTAAACACACAGGTAATGGTCTTTAACAGAAAGGTTTTTCACAGAAGCCAGAGCAGGGCCTGGCCGGGACGGCTAGTGAACAATAAAACACGAATTGGATGAAATCCTTGCTGATTGTGTCATTCCGTGTTGTTCCCAGACTATGACGGTGCAGGAACGTTTCCAATTGACTCTGTTATCGAGTGTATAGAAGCAGCCGTGTTTACACTTTTTATATTCGAATGTGTAATAATTTTATTACCTGTTTAACTAAACTTTGTTATTTATTTTTAATCAGTGTATTCTGCTATTACAAAGTAATACTTTCTAAATCCTGAACTCAATGTAAATAAGCTATCTCGAAGTACAGATGAACAAATATATTTAAATTAACTTTTTTTTTAAAAAAAGAGAGTCACTTGTTTATATATAATGCTGAATTACCCTAAGTTTACCCTAAGTTTACCCTATCATTTAGCATTGCCCATCGGGTTGTCTTATAGGCCTGAATATTATTGGATAACAATACTTTGGTTTTGAAAATATGTTTTGTTATATTTTCATTTGTCTAGGTCAGTTGAGAAGGGTAAAATTTCACGGAAACAAAGTTGCATGAAATCATTGAGACGATTTAATTAGTATTAATTGATAATAACTTTGGTTTTTCATGTTTAAACACTCTTCTACCACAAATAAGACATAGTACTACAAATAAAATACGCTACAACAAATAAGATGTAGTACAACAAATAAAATGGACCACAATAAATTATATGTACTAAACCCAATGAAACGCACTACAACGAATAAAATGTACCCCCGACAAACACGATGTACTATGACACCCATTGGCTAGATTCTCCCAGTGTCTACTAGATATGTATATAGAGATGGGGCTCAGGTTTTTAATTAGAATGATGGGATAGCTCTAGTACGTGGTGAGAGGCGACGCCAGACCAGACAATGAATCGTGTATTACATGTATTGTCTCGCTATACAACGTAGACCGCGACGCTAATGCAGACCGACGTATCAGGGTGCCGCAGACATTCCAAAGTCACGCGAGATTCAGTCTCGGCATCAGCGGTGCTCATACCATGGACGAGGTACCCCGGGAGATGCCTGACAGGTCTGTGGGTCTGGGGCATAGCTGGGATTTCTGGGACGTATCCGACGTCTGCTGTCTTGTTGCCGTCTGCCGGAACGGCGCACTTTCCACAAACAATAAGACAGGGAACTAAATTTAGGTCAACTCAAATATGTTCTGCGTGTGTCACTTACTTCTAGCAATTATTTGTGTAGTAGGTGAGGTGATATTTCATTTTCAGAAATTGTTTGTGTTGTAACCACTCTTAAAGGAAGCTACTCTACCTAATATGTATCGTTAGCAGCCTGTGTAACAGCGCTACAACATGTACAACAGCATTACAGCATTTGCGACAGCGGAACAGCATATAGGCCTATAATCGTGAAACTGTCTATATAATCGCGGCTATAACTGTGTAACAGTGGCACTGTCCAGAGGCGTAGCAACCCTTCCCGGCGCCCGGGGACATACTTTCAATTTGGCGCCCCCTTGGGAGCAAATTTTCGATTTGCACCCCCCTCGAACTTTTCATTTGCACCCCCCCCCCCCCTCAAACTTTCGATTTGCACCCCACCCTTGAACTTTTCATTTGCACCCCCCCCCCTCAAATATTCGATTTGCACCCCCCCCCCCCCGAACTTTTCATTTGCACCCCCCCTCAAACTTTCAATTTGGCCCCCCCTCCCCCTAAGGTCGGCGCCCGGGGACATATGTCCCCCCCCCCCCGCCCCCCCCCCCTTGCTACGCTACTGGCACTGTCTATATAATCGCGGCTATAATTGTGTAACAGCGGTACTGTCTATTTAACCGAGCCACAGTCTATATAATCACGGCACACCCTGACTGCTGCACATCTACTGTTACACCAGCACAGTGAAATCGTTACTAGTGCAACGGTTATCTTACCCTTGTTATATATTATGGTAGAATATTTTGACAGCACAGTGCAATCATTATTTGTGCAATGCTTATATTACCCTTGTTATATATTGTGGTAGAATATCTTGACGTTCTCAGCTATATTTGGTTATTAACCAACTCCATCTATTTGTGGGTTGTTTTTTTTTAATCTGGCAAGTGGTTGTACGTCGTATGATTGTGGTAAACCACAATTTGCCAGATTGATGTTGACATCGCAGCCAAAAGGTGGTCGAATGAAATCATTCAAACCCTAGCTGTGTGGTTGTCTACAGGTTGGTCATTCAAACCCTATCATAGCTGTGTGGTTGTCTACAGGTTGGTCATTCAAACCCTATCATAGCTGTGTGGTTGTCTACAGGTTGGTCATTCAAACCCTATCATAGCTGTGTGGTTGTCAGCAGGTTGGTCATTCAAACCCTATCATAGCTGTGTGGTTGTCAGCAGGTTGGTCATTCAAACCCTATCATAGCTGTGTGGTTGTCTACAGGTTGATCATTCAAACCCTATCATAGCTGTGTGGTTGTCAGCAGGTTGGTCATTCAAACCCTATCATAGCTGTGTGGTTGTCTACAGGTTGGTCATTCAAACCCTATCATAGCTGTGTGGTTGTCTACAGGTTGGTCATTCAAACCCTATCATAGCTGTGTGGTTGTCTACAGGTTGGTCATTCAAACCCTATCATAGCTGTGTGGTTGTCTACAGGTTGGTCATTCAAACCCTATCATAGCTGTGTGGCTGTCTACAGGTTGGTTATTCAAACCCTATCATAGCTGTGTGGTTGTCTACAAGTTGGTCATTCAAACCCTATCATAGCTGTGTGGTTGTCTACAGGTTGGTCATTCAAACTCTATCATAGCTGTGTGGTTGTCTACAGGTTGGTCATACAAACCCTATCATAGCTGTGTGGTTGTCTACAGGTTGGTCATTCAAACCCTATCATAGCTGTGTGGTTGTCTGCAGGTTGGTTATTCAAACCCTATCATAGCTGTGTGGCTGTCTACAGGTTGGTCATTCAAACCCTATCATAGCTGTGTGGTTGTCTGCAGGTTGGTTATTCAAACCCTATCATAGCTGTGTGGCTGTCTACAGGTTGGTTATTCAAACCCTATCATAGCTGTGTGGTTGTCTACAGGTTGGTTATTCAAACCCTATCATAGCTGTGTGGTTGTCTACAGGTTGGTCATTCAAACCCTATCATAGCTGTGTGGTTGTCTACAGGTTGGTCATTCAAACCCTATCATAGCTGTGTGGTTGTCTGCAGGTTGGTTATTCAAACCCTATCATAGCTGTGTGGCTGTCTACAGGTTGGTTATTCAAACCCTATCATAGCTGTGTGGTTGTCTACAGGTTGGTCATTCAAACCCTATCATAGCTGTGTGGTTGTCTACAGGTTGGTTATTCAAACCCTATCATAGCTGTGTGGTTGTCTACAGGTTGGTCATTCAAACCCTATCATAGCTGTGTGGTTGTCTACAGGTTGGCCATTCAAACCCTATATTAGCTGTGTGACTGTCTACAGGTTGGTCATTCAAACCCTATCATAGCTGTGTGGTTGTCTACAGGTTGGTCATACAAACCCTATCATAGCTGTGTGGTTGTCTACAGGTTGGTCATTCAAACCCTATCATAGCTGTGTGGTTGTCTACAGGTTGGTCATACAAACCCTATCATAGCTGTGTGGTTGTCTACAGGTTGGTCATTCAAACCCTATCATAGCTGTGTGGTTGTCTGCAGGTTGGTTATTCAAACCCTATCATAGCTGTGTGGCTGTCTACAGGTTGGTTATTCAAACCCTATCATAGCTGTGTGGTTGTCTACAGGTTGGTTATTCAAACCCTATCATAGCTGTGTGGTTGTCTACAGGTTGGTCATTCAAACCCTATCATAGCTGTGTGGTTGTCTGCAGGTTGGTTATTCAAACCCTATCATAGCTGTGTGGTTGTCTACAGGTTGGTCATACAAACCCTATCATAGCTGTGTGGTTGTCTACAGGTTGGTCATTCAAACCCTATCATAGCTGTGTGGTTGTCTACAGGTTGGTCATTCAAACCCTATCATAGCTGTGTGGTTGTCTACAGGTTGGTCATTCAAACCCTATCATAGCTGTGTGGCTGTCTACAGGTTGGTTATTCAAACCCTATCATAGCTGTGTGGTTGTCTACAGGTTGGTTATTCAAACCCTATCATAGCTGTGTGGTTGTCTACAGGTTGGTCATTCAAACCCTATCATAGCTGTGTGGTTGTCTACAGGTTGGTCATTCAAACCCTATCATAGCTGTGTGATTGTCAGCAGGTTGTTGCCCGCCCCCGGGAAGGCGGAGTTCGACCTTATCAGGGCCCAAGATTCGTGTAGAGTTGTGGGGAATTTGGTGATTACAAGTCATTTTACGTCAGGTAGTTGATAAGGCGATGCTGAGTTAGGTCCCTTGGTTGTAAGTCGTCGGACTTTCTCACGAGAACAGGAGGAATAACTACACGTTGAGGATCAGGGGCGATAACTACAGGGACAGTTATTGCATTTTGATTATTAAATCCAGGGGCATCAACTACATAGACAGCATCTACAAGGGATATATCTGTATAAGAAGTATTAAGATCAGGGGCAATAACCTCATGGACAATAAATGTAAATAGAAGTTAACATCAGGGGCGATAACTACATAACATATCTGAATATAAAGAAAATTAAGATGAGCAATAAATGCAAATAGGTAATTATAATCAGAGCAGACAATTACAGGGGCAAAAAAAAAAAACAGCTTATAGATTATTAATGGAAAACACGTACAGAGACAATAACCGAACATGGAAAATTAAAATAAAGGGCGACTACCACAGGCAGGAGATGTACACAGAAAACAGGCTCCAGGAAGTTTGATGCCGGAGCTACCCGGCGGCCTGCTGTGTGACATAATGAACTGTGGGCGGTGCCGGCCCTGGGAACAACAACATGCACAGCGAGGGCGCCTCGGCTCCCGTGAGAAGCCGGGCGATCCGGCCCAGCCGGGAGTGTAAGCAGACGAGAGCCGGTTTGCCGGCTCGATAGGTTTATTGCTTGTCTAGATTACATGTCACATCCTAACGATATTTTAACAGTATCACGCCGAGAAGTTATCAGAAAACGCTAGAAATATAACAGAGCTGTTGTTAAGGCTTGTTCGAAGGGAATAAATAGTCGAGGGCATAAAAAGTTTAATCGGGGGCAGCTTTGTTCGTCGTATGTTAGCTACTGTCTTGTTGAAGGGCATAAATAGCCGAGGGCATACATAGTATGGGGCATAAAGACAAGGCACCAGGGCTTACAAGTTATTTAAAAAACAGGGCTTTCAACTCAATATAATTTAGCTAAGGATTGTGTCCCTTTAAGATTTGATTGCTTCCCTTTGTTCCAGAAGAGTTTTCTATTCCAGCTGATTAGAAATCTGCCCACTACACTAAACTTCTTGATTTTGTAGTATTCTAAAATAGTACTACAGGATATGATATAATGTGTTTAAGATTCTAACGTTTTAAAAAGAATATTTAAAATGGTATAAATTTTTGACATAGATACCACAGACACCGACACAGATACCACTGACAGACACGGACACAGATACCACTGACAGACACGGACACAGATACCTCTGACAATGACAGATACCACTTACAGACATGGACACAGATAACACAGACACGTGACTTACTGCCAAAGAGCTGTCATCACTACAAGGACTAAGTCGGCTCAGGGCCGTGCTGCTGACGGCTGTCTTGTGGCTCATGGCTCCGTACATCCCCAGCTGTTCAGTGGACCGACCCAGGCTGTCCATTGCTGCTTGGAACTCGGCTTCAGATTTAATTAGGCTGCCTGAGCGGTCAGTGTGTAGCAGGCTTCCAACACGGTCGGTGTGTACTAGACCCCCAACACGGTCAGTGTGTAGCAGGCTTCCAGAGCGGTCAGTGTGTACTAGACCCCCTACACGGTCAGTGTGTAAAAGACTCCCAGAGCGGTCAGTGTGTACTAGACCACTCACACGATCAGTGTGTACAAGATTTCCAACACGGTCAGTGTGTACTAGACTTCCAACACGGTCAGTGTGTAGCAGACTCCCGGAGCGGTCAGTGTGTAGCAGCAATGGCACCCTGCTCATCCCAGCATGGAAGCCGTCCATACCATGGAGCTTCTACAAGTAGAACATTTAGGTCATTAGTTGTTTATAGAACAATTAGGTCATTAACTGATTGGTAAAGTTTATAGAACATTTAGGTCATTAACTGATGGGTAAAGTGTATAGAACATTTAGGTCATTAATTGTTATTAAAGGTTATAGAACATTTAGGTCATTAATTGATAGAAAAGTTTATAGAACATTTAGGTCATTAGTTGTTTATAGAACATTTAGGTCATTAGTTGTTTATAGAATATTTATGTCATTAATTGATGGGTTAAGTTTATAGAACATTTAGGTCATTAATTGATAGATAAAGTATAGAACATTTAGGTCATTAATTGATAGTAAAGATTATAGAACATTTAGGTCATTAATTGATAGGTAAAGTATAGAACATTTAGGTCATTAATTGATAGTAAAGTTTATAGAACATTCATTAATAGATGGGTAAAGTTTTAGAATATTTACGTCATTAATTGATAGTAAAGATTCCAGAACATTTAGATCATTAATTGTTTATAGAACATTTAGGTCATTAAATGATAGTAAAGGTTATAGAACATTTAGTTTATTAATTGATTGCAAATATTATGGAATATGTAGGTCATTAATTTACAGCAAAATGTATAGAATATTCAGATAATTAATTGATAGCAAATGTTATAGAAAATTCATGTTGTTTGATAGCAAAGTTTACAGAACTTTCAAATATGATTCAAATAATTCCTTCACTTAAAATTTTGACAGAGATTTCAAATAATTAATTCAATAGAAAGTGGACAGACCTTTTAATTAAAGGTGACATTGTTTTGTTTGTGAATGCTAATGAAAACAAACCACGTGATAATTTAGTTACAACACAGTATTCTAACAGTCACGTGACGCTGGTCCGCCCCACCGCCGGGCTGTTGGTGCCACTACCCTTGGGGAGTTGGTTAGAATATTTTAAACGTGGATTGTAACTACAACTTTTGATTGGTTAATTAAAATTTAAAATCAATGAGTTACACCTGCATGGAGATTGGTTTGTGATGTGGCTGATACACACGTTTAGTCACTTAGTGACGTTGATAATTTACATCTTAATTAATTAAATCTTAATTTAATTTACATCTACATTATTTTCGTACGGTAATATGACATCACATGAAATTTGTAGTGACCTTAGATGCAGTATCAAAAACAATGTATTTGGAATCTTAGATGTGACATGAACAAGTTACACAACAAAGACGTTTTAACATAAACATTGCCTTTAGGAATAACATAAAATTTCACATAATAAAGACTTTTTAACACAAAAAATGTGTTTAGATGTTACATAAAAAACTAACGAAAGAATTTTGATTGTACTTATCAAAACTATTATCCATCAAAGTTATCCAATGTGAGATCAGATTATTGTGACTAGCAAACTTGACGTTACAGAACTTTTGTCGTGGTGTGAGAACGGAGCTTCTTCTTACACCCTCCAGTCAATCAATCAATAACAAACAATAACAATATCATCACTAAACTTTTATAATGCTGTGAGAACGGAGCTTTGTCTTACACCCTCAAGTCAATCAATCAATAACAAACAATAACCACATCATCACTAAACTTTTATAATGCTGTGAGAACGGAGCTTTGTCTTACACCCTCCAGTCAATCAATCAATGACAAACAATAACCACATCGATCTGAAGTTCCCGTGCACATTTTGTTCCGTATGTTTTATCATTTTACGGCGAACATGTTTTTATACATCTACTACAGAAAGACATCAATTATAATACAATTGTCCTACTTATACGTCCGTATGTTATAAAGCAACTATTATAATAATTTAGACGTCCGATATGTTTTATTTCAAACAACTTTCCCCAACTACCCCTCTGTAAAAAAAAAGAACAACAACCCATTATATCGTATTCTCATATCGCTATGTCAGCCATCATTGTCGAGCCGAATTATTTAATTTCCTCTTTAATCAACGGAGAAATTTAGCTAACGAGAAATTGTATCGTCTGTGCAAGTTGCAGAAGGCATTACTCTTGTAGTGTAGCAACTTTTTTTTTTTACCCTTAACATCTTTAATCGTAATATGCTACATTAATCGGGCTTTCCCCATTAATTATTTTTAGCGTATTACACGAATGTTTTAAAACTAAGCAACACACCATTGATGTTTCTTCCATACCACACAGATGATCATTATAAAGTATTGGTGATTTAAAGGCTATTTTATTTTGTTAACCCAACGCGTATTTTGATTTTCATGTCTTTCAAATAATTATGTGCCATTTTTATTTTTAAAATCTACTAAAACCATCAAATAACTTATTTATGCAGAAATCGTTTACTTAGTAATCGATGCGTTTTAAATATAATTTTTAGAATGAGTAAAATATAATTTAATTGTTGTTTAAGTCTACTTTTGTTTGCTAAAAAACATTGTACACATGAAATACATACCCGGGCTATACATATATACATAAAATACATACATCGCGAGCTAAGATCTGCACTCGCTATCACAAACGCTCGTTAGCGAACACACGATATATGACACAATTGCTCATATCCAAAGCTTCAGAAGGAATCTGCCAATTAGGTGAAATGTGGGTAGGACATGTTTTATTGCTGGCTTTAATACCAGACCTAGCCTGTTCCCGGGGTGGGGGGTGACTATAATACCAGACCTACTCCGTCCCGGGGGTGAGGGGGGGGGGGGTGACTGGCAATAAGTCGGGCAGGGAGTGAGCGAGACTTTAATGGAAACTTGGGTTTATGTGAGAAATCTTAAGTTTTGTACTGCTCCGTGATGGTAAGAAGGGAAGGGGGGATGCCCAGGGGTGGGGTGGTAGCCTGGGGTGGGGTGGTGACCTGTCGTGTTGAATCACACCCCCTGTAGGTGCTAGACCTGGAGCCAGTGTGTTGACGGGCAGAGCAGGAGGGGAATCTAGCAGTTGTCTGAGCGAATCAAACTTGGCAGGTATCATAGCGAGATGGTTCTCTCGTCCAACGTAGGGGGGTGAGGGTGAGGGTGAGGGAGATGGGGGTGGGGGTGTTGTCAAAAACCATCCCAGTGTGTACAGAAACAAGTACCTGATGACCTTGGTACACTGTTGGCCGTGGCCTGCAAGTGGCCATGGCCCAACGTCTTCACTTCAACCATGGCCCTATAGGTGACCATGGCCCACAGATAACCATGGCCCTATAGGTGACCATGGCCCACAGATAACCATGGCCCACGGATAACCATGGCCCACAGATAACCATGGCCCACGGATAACCATGGCCCACAGATAACCATGGCCCACAGATAACCATGGCCCACGGATAACCATGGCCCACAGTTGAATGGACTTCAACTAGGCCGATCAAAGGCCCACAGACAAGCCTAATCCTAAATGAGCTAACTACTGTACACAAATACTCAGTAAACTTAAGCAGTATCCTAACTTGTGTACAAAGTAACCTAACTTGTATGCACAGTAACCTAACTTGTGTATAATGTAACCTAACTTGTGTATACAGTAACCTAACTTGTGTATATAGTAACCTAACTTTTGTACACGGTAACCTAACTTGTGTACATAGTAACCTAACTATGTATACAGTAATCTAACGATGTACACAATAACTGTATACACCGTATACTCAGCGTGTGTACACAGTGTATACATTTCGTCAGATCTTGATAAACACAGTACTCGTGTGATGTGGGGGAGGGGGGGTCGTGTACGTGTACATGTACATACGCACAATCATTTGTTTACATATAGTGACGTCATCTCTTATTTCTACTCACCCAAAGTGTAACACGAAGATCCGCACGTTCATCCAAAAAAAAAATATCCACAGTGAAATTGTGCTATAAACCGATACAACTATAGATCTACCGGTATCTAATACCAACGAGATTATCCAAAGATTAAGATCAGATTAGTCAGACACTCACCTATTGGAAATATATTCCCTCAGCACGTGTTTGACAGCAAGCAAGCGTATCGTCTGCGCTAGTCTATCTTTGACAGGAGTCACCTCGCCTCTCTAGAAACCAAAGCTCCCCTTTTGTTTTCCAGCTCCCAACTTTATCCGCCTCATCTAACTCACTCTGATACCCCTCATTACCCACGTTTTTTTTTTTATTGGCATGCGATCATTGACGAGGTATTGGTTGATTGACAACCACAAGTCCATTTGTCCGACCCGTCAGACCAATCAAACAGCGGGAGCGATCCGGCATGACCCCGCCCCCTTGTGGGGATTCCCGCGCTGGTTCGTCCTATTCTGACGTCTACCTCACGGGCGTTTAACCGTAGCACGGATACTCTCCCCTGGTTGCCATGGCAACGGGTACCAACAGGTACCGCCTGCTGGTGAAGGAAACAAGTGTTGGGGAGATGTTTGCCTTGGTCATGTGACCACGGATTGTTTGGTCATGTGATCAGGGATTGTTTTGATTGTAAATGTTCGTAAACTCACAAATTCGCGTCTGCTTCTATGTGGTATGTGTTAGCCCCCTCCCCCCCCCCCCCCCCCACACCTTGTCCACATCACAACGTTCTTTGTACATTAATCAAATCAAATCAAAGTTGCTTATAACGTAATGCAAAAAGCAGGTGTGTGTGTGCGTGTGGGAAGGGATGGGGGAGGAGGGGGTCCATCATTGGTGAAAAATAGGGTGTTCATCGTGTAATAATATAATTAATTTATAAACTTGAAACACAGACCAGAAACAGTTTGTAGAGTTGAAACACAGACCAGCAACTTGTGAATTCCGGCAGTAGGTTCATACTCTCAAACATACAGAAAGGTTTTTATAATTTTATACTGGCAAAATATCATGCCGATAGAGACATGCGACTCTAAAGAAAATACTAGAAATTTATTCTAATCCGGCTCTTAAATAAAGCGGCTAATTAGATGAAATGAAACGGCTAATTAGATGAATTAAAACGGCTCATTAGATGAAATAAAGTCCTTATTAGATGAAATAAAGTCCTTAATAGATGAAATAAAGTGCTCATTAGATGAAATAAAGTGCTCATTAGCTGAAATAAAATTGCTCATTAGATGAAATAGTGCTTATTAGATGAAATAAAATTACTCATTAGATGAAATAAAGTGCTTATTAGATGAAATAAAGTGCTCATTAGATGACATAAAGTGCTTATTAGATGAAATAAAGTGCTCATTGGATGAAATAAAACGGCTTATTAGATGAAATAAAACGGCTTATTAGATGAAATAAAGTGCTCATTGGATGAAATAAAGTGCTCATTAGATGAAATAAAGTGCTTATTAACTGAGATAAAGTGCTCATTAGATGAAATAAAATTGCTCATTAGATGAAATAAAGCGGCTGTCGTTGAAGCTTTTTGCTGAGAAAACTACAAAAGTTGAACAATATATTTTATGCTGTGTCTACATCTGAAATAATAGAATACGTGTAATTTTAGTTCAGTCAGACTGACAAGTTTAGGAAAAATAATGTATGAAATACCATGATATACTAGCCTCCATTATTACATGAATTTAATCATAGCTAAAGCTAGAAAATCCCTTTGCTGTTGCAAAGTCATAGCTAGGCCTAGGTTATAGCGAGAAAATAGCATTGATAAATTAAATCGTTTAATCAACTAAACAAGTTTTCTGCTAATCATTAAATCGATAGATTTCTAAAAATAATGTTCATGTTTAAATCTGCAGAAACTATACTAAAACAATGTATTTTTCAGAGGCGTAGCGACGGGGGGGGGGGGGGGGGGGGTACATATGTCCCCGGGCGCCGGTCCTATGGGCGCCAAAATAAGCTCATCTTAGCTGCTATTTTGAATTATAAATATAAAAAATATATATGGGAGGGGGGGGGCGCCAAATTGAAAGTTTGTCCCCGGGCGCCGGGAGGGGTCGCTACGCCTCTGGTATTTTTCTAATCTGGACAAAAGTTAAAGCCCCTGGTTGTCAAGGAGACAGTTTTGTTGTATTTGTTCAACATATCACGTGATCAGACGATCAAAGAACAAGTACAGACTACACCTTAGACGTGACGACAGACGCCACTTTTCATCCAGAGAGGGGCGGGGTCAGGTGGTAAGGTCAAAGGTCAGAAACTTTTAAAAATAAAAACCTCATGTGACAAAAACTAGATGAAGTGGGTAACCGTTAAAATGGCAGACCACAATACTTTTTTCTACGAGACTTTACTCTATTTTTTAAAAAGTTTAAGTAATTAAAAGTGGATTAAAAATCATGTCTATATCCCGAGTTGCCATCCCCCGTAGTGGTATATAAGAATATTCGAGAAAGTTTAGGGGAGATCACTCCCGCTTTATTTTTTTATTAGTTTCAAGTAACTCGGTATTTTGTTCTTATACAAACTGTTTTTTCTCCCAGTGTGTTTGTTGCATTTCATGGAGCCCATTAAAACGATGTGAATATGATACGCATTCTCCCCACCTACCACCCCGCCCCCCTCCCCTCTAACCGTTATTGTTTCAAAATGACTTTTGATAACCGATGAAAATTGTATGTACATTGTATGTAATTCGTTCCGTCCCACGAGCCGCATTTTGCGGCTCATGGTTTCACGTGAGGGCTGCAGTAGTAGCTTCATATTCAAATCCAGTCCAATATTTAAATCAACTTTTACAAACCCATGCTCTTAAATACACTACATCAAGGTATTTATTTTTATCCAATAATTTCGCAATGGAACTGCTTTGCGTGTTTTATTGGTTTTGAAATAATTTTTCAACAAGAAGTTACAGCGAGAGTAGTAGTAATCAACGTTCTAAGGGGAAAATCAAGAGTCCAGTGTGTATTTTATGTGCGTGGTGTTCTTAAGTGTTATACACGGATATAATTATGTATTTTACAAATAACTGCACATCAGCTTCAAAACCACTGCGCGGCCGCACAACCACGCAGCTGAGAGGGAACTTAGGTTTGTAATAGCGATAACAACACCCTTGCAATATTACAACATAACAAATCAAGAAAATTACTGATGTAGGTTAACGCTCAGGGACATCGGATTGCTGAGGATAAATTTTGACGACATGGGATAGCTGGGGATAAATCTTGACGACATAGGATAGCTGGGGATAAATCTTGACGACATAGGATAGCTGGGGATAAATCTTGACGACATAGGATAGCTGGGGATAAATCTTGACGACATAGGATAGCTGGGGATAAATCTTGACGACATGGGATAGCTGAGGATAAATCTTGACGACATGGGATAGCTGAGGATAAATCTTGACGACATGGGATAGCTGAGGATAAATCTTGACGACATGGGATAGCTGAGGATAAATCTTGACGACATGGGATAGCTGAGGATAAATCTTGACGACTTAGGATAATTGATGTCACCTCATCAGAGATAGATATAAAAGCTGTGACACGGGTCTAAAGCAATCATTGTGTAACCGCGGTCTATAACAAAACAGTCACTGTATTACCGTGGGCTATAACAAAACAGTCACTGTATTGTCGAAGTCTATAACAAAAAAATCAATGTATAACCGATGTCTATAACAAAACAATCACTGTATTGCCGAGGTCTATAACAAAACAATCACTGTATAACCGATGTATATTACTTCAATACGACCCAGGAATTAACCCAAGAAATATACAGAGTTTCTTTCTGCATCTCTTCGGGGGGGGGGGGGGGGCGCGGTGCCCCCCGAAGGAAGTCTCGTGCCCCTCTCCCTCCCTCCCCCCCCCCCCTCCGAGCGAAATGAAATTTATATAGAAAATACATACTTTTAACAGTTAAAGGCCTCCACCCCGAAAATTTTAGTCCACCCCCCCCTCGAAATTTTTAAGTGCACCCCCGGAGAAAAAAGTCTGGAAGAAACAAAGCAAATATACCTAACACTACCTGTATCCGGCTGGTCAAACAGCCATTACTTAATTAGTATTGTTTACCTCTGCTAGCCTCTACTTCCCCTATCTGCCAACCTGTTATACACTTTGGCATCAACGTGCTAATTAATTTCACATTATGTGGCACACTTAGACCTCTCTATTTCAGAATGAGATTTCCTGACTCTATTTCATGAGTGTATCACATACATTTTATTGTGTCTTAAATGTAAATATTTTAAACAAAACAGGTTTTTCGATTTCAACAAGCGACGGGGACAAGTATCTTAGTTACCTAGGTAACACGTCAACAAGCCTCTCGCGTGATTCCCGTTCTCCAACGAGCAGCTGGCGTGGAGTGATGTGACAAGTAGATCGTATTGTCTCCCCTGTAACGCTAGAGTTATCTCTTGTAGAGTTGCCGGACCTAAGGTGAGAAGAACGGGCTGACACCTCAGTTCCGGGGCGCCCATGGAGCAGGCGTGAGAAGGGGCAGGAAATGGCACTTGAGCAGACACTAAGTGCCGGCTAGTCATGATGGGGGTGTTTTATACTGCTGGCTGCTAGCCAAAGTTGGTTCCTCTTTAATTGAAATACCTACAGACATACTGGTCAGTGGTGAGGCAAGTTGTTCGCCTACAGGTGTATATTATACGGTCAACATACACGAACTTACACAAACACACAAGCATACCTATATATATATATATATATATATATATATATATATATATATATATATATATATATATATATATATATATATATATATTCTATTCTATATATATATATATATATATATATATATATATATATATATATATATATATATATATATATATATATATATATATATATATATATATATATATTCTATTATATATATATATATATATATATATATATATATATATATATATATATATATATATATATATAATGTTAAGCGAAATGAAAAAAAAACCCATTGCAGACAAACTTTATTGAACACAGGGTTTTTAAATATGACTTGTGTCGTAGGCTTGTTAACATTTTACAGGTTAGTTTATAGATCCTCTATACTTTTCTATCATGTGCATTGCTAGGGTAGAGCGAGGGATATTGGAGGGGGGGGGGGGTGGGGGAATTTCTAATCAATTTAGACCAAAAGGAAGACTACATTCACTGCACAAGTTAAATACAATTCGGAGTTTTCGGTAAACTGCGGTAATCTTCGGTAATC